CAGCGGGTCTGCAGCAAGGTAAGGCGCGTCAAAGTGCTCGGGCAGCGCCGGGGCTGGGGGGGGGAGAAGGCGCAGGGTCAGTCCGTCCGTCGAGGGATGGAAAACCGGCGTTTCCCGAAGGGTTCCCAACGCCACCTGCTGTTCCTTTCTCCCCGAGCCTGACGGGGACTGTCCCTTGCATTTCCAGCACCCAAGGTCTGCGATGCCTGCAAAAACAAAAATGAAGACGATAACGACATCGTGGAAAACCTCTGCAAAAATGACTTTGGTAAGTGGAAGCAGAGCCCTCTTGATTGAAACTTGAGAGTTGAGGATCAGGTAAAACTCCCAGTGGAATGAGAGAGAGATGTGCCTGAATAAAGGCAGGGCATTGTCTTATCTGCAGATGGACCCATCTGACTGTTTGGTCGTGAAACACAAAATTCCACCTCGGCATAAAAAGTGGCCCTCTTTATAGTCCTTTTCTGTTTGCTGTTTTGAAGTAGTGCTCTTTTATGTGGATGTTGCTGGCAAGCTGAATAGAAAGTAAAATGGAAAAAAAAAAAATAATCTTTCATCCAGACTATTGCCTGGGGAGAAGTAGAGCAAAGTTTCATTTAGACATATGAGAAGTACCCGCATGACCAGTCTCGCGTATCATAAGACTCTCTCTGCAGATTAAGAATGAAGCTCTATATATCATTTGACAGAGAAGGTAATGCACAGACAATTGGGGATATAAACTTAATGGGAAGATCTGGGGTTAGAAGAGGACAAGAAAGCCTGTTCGACACAGACAACTGAACGGCACATTATCCACACATTAGCATTTCAAGACAAAAAGGGAATAAGGAGGGGAATCCTTTTATAATAGGTCAATGTTTATACCTGGAAACAGATTCATAGTATAAATATCTACAACAATTCAAAAGTCTCTCTTTAAAAAAAAACCCACCACCCAAAACATGAAACTATGACTGTGGGACATAATTGCTAAAACAACCAATAGCTTTGGCCTGGCAAATTGCACTCAGATAAATCCTCCTAAAGCTAAACATGCCCCACAGATTCTTACAGAGCCCTGTATCCCCCTCCTAGTTATTTTACCAAATCGAATGCAGCTGTTGGACCAGTTTGCCCTCCACGGGATCTATTCTTTCAAAAAAACAATGCATGTGAAATATCATTTCCTTACAGGTTTGCTTAAAATCTGCTCCAGCCTAATAAATTAAGTTTAGAAGTTTTTAGCCGCAGCAGAGATCAGGTTTCAGATTAGGTCTAGGTACTCACCTCCCCACCTCCCCTTCAAACTCTAGTTTCAGGAAGACTGTCCTCTCCCAGCCAAAACGGGAGCGCTGCTTAATGTAGCAAACCTGCCCTCTCTCTGTTTGCAAACAGGAGAAAATACTAATTTAGAAAGGAAGGAAAAAGGGGGGGAGGGGGAAGAGGAGAAAAGAAACCCAAAAAACCTCAACCCTAAGGTTGATTCAGACTGAAATGACTTGCGTGCCCTTTGTGGCTTTAGAAATGGAGCCACCTGCTGCCTCTTCTGTCAGCCCTGACAGTTTAATTAGCAATAGAGCACCTCCCTCCCCAGGTCCTCTTTATGTGCACTAATGGGAAAAAACCTCTCAATCTCTCTCCCTCTCCCCACTTCCCCCTCCCCTCACTCTATTAGCCTTGAAGATAAAAGTGAAGGAGATTGCCTACATCAATGGGGATACCAAGATCACCCCTGAAACAAAGAGCAAAACCATCTACAAGCTGAATGGGCTGACGGAAAGGGATCTGAGGAAGATCGTGCTTTGGCTCAAAGGTGGCCTCCAGTGTACCTGCGATGAGATGAATGACATCAACGTCCCCTACTTGGTGATGGGGCAGAAGCAAGCTGGGGAACTGGTGATCACCTCGCTGAAGCGGTGGCAGAAAGGGCAGCGGGCTTTCAAACGGTTCTCCCGCAGCATCCGCAAACTGCAGTGCTAGTGGCTTCAGCTCTGGCCACCTCCAGCAGCCGGCCACCCCCCCTCCCCCGCCTCTGTCCCCAGCTCTCTGGGCCTCCCGCACTTTCTTGCTTCGGCCCATCTGAGCCTCGAGATACCACGGGCATGAGACACGGTGACCGCTCTCCGAGGGGCAAGGGAGCCCTCCGTTTCTGTACATAGGTTAAAATGTAATAAAAAAAACCACATGACTATTTTTGGGGAGTATTAAAGTATCTCGCTTAAAGCTTTTTCCTTTTTTTTTATGGTTGCAAATGTGACTTTGGTCTGAGGTTTTTCCCTCTTCATTTTGGTAATGCTGGTTCATTTATATTGCTGCTTCTCTGTATACATGCATGTTTGTTGTGCAAAAGTAGGAGATGCAGAGAAAGACAGCCACGCGTGCGACTGGCCTGTCACAGTGGGTACGACTCTTTCACCGAGGTGAAATGGCTTGCCATCTATATTAACACTATAAAGGTCATGTTACAACTCTTGCATGTGATACATAGGCACCAGTAAGAGTATATTAACCATTCTCACATTTTATTTTCCACAAGTCTGAGCCCTTCTCTCTCAGAAAAAAATGAACAAGTTTTGGAGCTGGTTGATCTGAATGCAACTTTTTTTTCACTATTTTGCAAATTAAACCATCTGTAGCCTAACTGTAATATACCTAGTGGTTAACCTGAAAGAGTTGTAAAATATTGCTTTAATTAACCTTGTAAATACTCCAGATAAATGTTATATTCTTGTATATAAACTTGACATCATAGTTTACCCATTGTCTCGGTCTGTATTCACTTTAATCTGTGTTGGGAGAAAGCTGTCCAAGTAGGCTTTGTCACGGCAAAGCAAAATCTGGGCTTCCACGCCAAGTGGCCAGCAGAGAAGCACAAGGAAGCATCTAGTGCTGCAACCAGAAAAGACACAGTGGACGTCATTTCCGCAAAGATCAACCCACGAGACACGGGACTGAGGTTCAGTCAACTCCTTTTAACGTGTCTGTTGAGCTCTTCAAGATGAAGAGTTTTCTGTGGCTCCTTTGTTCGACCGCCTGCATTTTCATCTCATCTTCTCAGAAGACTCTGCTCTTTGCTGATGTGGAATTGCAATGAGACCACTTGCTTAAAAATCAAATTTATTTATCCATTTCTTACACTTGAAAAAGCCATATTAAGGAGCGCAAGAATAGACAGAAAAATTTCATTTGCAACTAGCAAGTCAGAATAATGGTAGAGCAAGGCATGTTTTGTGTATGTACACTCACTATTCTTAGAAAGAAAATAAAACCTAATTAATAGTGTAACTAGCAGAATGTTTTTCAGCATTTTTCTTACAAATGTTTCCTGATGAAGAGCATTACCTGCTAGAATTTTATTGTACTTATCCTGAAAAACAGTCTTGCTTCCCAGTGCTGCCATATAAAAAAGTCCTCTTAGCTTCACTGAGAGGATGAGCACTCCAATATTCCCAAGGACAATGTTTTATCTTAACCATTCACAGACAGAATACAAATCCCACACTAGATTTTTCTTTAAAGTAAAAAATCACATTAATTTCATATATTTAGTGTGATTTTTTTTCACCAGGATAAAAAGATAAAATCTAAAGATCCAACATGTTACATTTGTTTTAGAAAAATGAATTGTTTGTCCTCTCCCACAGTCTTAATGCACTCACTACACCTGATACAAACAATGGTAGGACTCTGACCAAGCAAGACAAGAGCAGTCCTCACAAATGTCCTCAAAAGTATAACAATTTAAAAAAAAAAAGCAACAAACCACCAAACAAAAAGCCCCATTCCAAACTGGCTCTTAATTATTTTGTGAAACAGCATCTTTATTTAAAGGCCAATACGTTGCTGAAATGTCATTAAAACTTTTCTTCTGAATGGACCTGGCTTCCCAGGAAACAGATTTGAGTCTTTCTGCTATGGCGTAATTATTATAATACCAGCACTATTTCCATCATCCTACAGAGCCATCAGCATCCAGATGTCACATTGCTCTACCCATTTCACTCAGCATAAAATGTAATACCTGTCCCTGAACAGCCTTGGTTTTAGAGGGAACAAGCTCACAGATAAAGAGGAGCGGGCTGAAGATGAGCCTGCAGAAAATGGGCTTGTGCTGCCTGGTGGAGGAAAGCACTTCGAAGAGGCAGTCGTTGCAATGCAGTCTCTGGGGACGGAAAACGAACAGCCAGGACTGCTCCACGCAGCCTGCCTTACAGATACTAAGTCCTCCTACAGCAACCATAAAATTATCTTAATTGGGCTGTCCTAGAAGGCAGCAGTACTGACGCTGATGAGGACAGACAGGTCACAAGTTACTCACTCTGGGGTCATGTTAAGGCCAAGACTACATAACAGATTTTTGCCGAATCACTTAGATGTATGAAGACACATTACCTATGACCAACATCGCTCTGCCTTAAAAAAAAAACATTCCCCTTCCTCCATCACAAAATAAACACCATTACACCAGCAAAATCCTGTTTCTGCCAGGTCAAATTCAGGAGAAGAAGAATAAACTAGACTGGCAAGCATTCAGTTTTACTAGTATAATCAGCGTCCTGGATTAAGAGCATACTGCCACGCAGCATACCCCTACCGATAAAGCCTTCTGCACGTGGCCCTGGGCTGAATCACTGGGACTTTCCACCCTCAGGGTAAACTGGCAGAGGCAGGATTACCTTTCAGATAAGCAGGATTTAGGCAAATGTGAAGAGTAATGGTACTCACGTTTTCCCAGTTTAGTTCCATTACCTTGTTCTAACACTATCGTATTAAAAGATGGGTCATACTCACCTCACCAAGGAGAGGGAGTGTCAGTGCTTGTTACACTATTTCCAAAGGTGTATAATCTAGACATTGCAAAATATTCAACTGAAAATTAGGATTTTAAAGTCACAGCCTGAGGAATCTTCATCTCTCAGATGCTGGCAAAGTAGTAAACGCATAAATTTTTCACATTTTTACCCTTACTCTTACTTGCTCAACAATAACTGAAAATCTTCAACTGTGCCAGGCAAATAGTGAACCAAACATGTAACAAAAAATTATCGGAGCCTGTTACTTCTGATCATTGTGTCACGTATACTTCAGAGTAACTTCATTACCTGGTATGGTATGGTTCAGTTCTAGCAGAATTTTTTTTTTTTTTGCAATTGATGAAAAAAGGCAACCCACTGTTGCATTTTTCAGACACTTTTTGTCTTCTTCTAATTAAAACAACATTGTTAGGCAGCCAATTATGTAGCTCCCATTGTATTTGCTTTCATAAAAACTATAAAAGCAGTTGACTACAATGGATTAGTTTAAGAACAATAATAATGATACTTGACATTTATACAGAAGTTTCCATTTAAGTTTCTCAGACTGCCTTCGCAAAAATAGGCATTAATATCCCTACTTTGCAGATCAGGAAAATGAGGCACAGTGAAGTGAAATAACTCATTCAAAACCGCCCAGCAAGTCCTTTACAGTCATGAAAAGCAGCATATTTTTTGTCTCAAGTTTTATGCTCTAATCACTACACCACAGCAATCAGAATGGTATATAATCAAGGCAGCACTTAGATTATAATTTGAAAGCATAACAGCAACCAAGGCTCCCTCCCTCTTTTTCCCCCTGAGTGTGTAAAAAACTGACTGCCCAAATTCAAATTTAAAACCCATCAGCAATATTGCTTGCAGTCTTTTCCTTTCCTCCTTATTTATTGTTCTCTCGATCCTTTAATTACGTCTTAATCCTTTCTTTTCTCCCTCATTTCTCATTCACTTCAGACACCCACAGAGAAGCCACTCAGCCCCTCTCTCGCCTCTCTCATACAGACACTTTCGCCCTCAGTATGGTTTATTAAAGAACTCATGCAGTATAACTACACACAAGCCACAAAAATCCTAATGACCAGCTTAAGACATAAAAAGACCCATGCGGGAAATTCAGCAAGAGAGCAAGAGGCATTTAAATTTAATTAATGATTTTCTGTGAGGACAGGAGGGTGGTTAGATGCCACAAGGAGCACCACAGACACATGCTGGTCGCCTCAGGCACAACCACTATTCCTATTCTGCAGCAGGAGAATATAAGGATATTTAAAGAATATAGCGAGCACCAAGACCACACAGATAAAGCACACCTTCCCTTGCATGGCCGGGTCTCCTGCACATCTCAGCCCCATTGTTATAACCCTGTGTTCCCCCTCTGGGGCCACGGTGCACCTCTCTCAACCTTCTTCCAGATGTCTCACTACCTCTCTTCAGCCATTGAGGGCATCAGCCAAGAGCAGAGCCACTGTGACTCAAGAACAGACCGCCTCATCGTCCCCCAGGTGCCTGCTGGGGCACGAGCGACCCCCGTGCAGCTGGCAGGGCAGCCCCTTTTTTGCTGTGTCTGCAGCCTGCTGCCAACCTCGCCAAACCTACCAGCCCTGTGAGCTCTCTTGATGTGTCCACGGTTGGCAATGCCAGAGGAAGGGCGATGGATTGACTGCTACCAGAGCAGTAGGCAGCCTTCCTTAGGTCGGGCAGCCCAGGCTTTTGTTATTGGAGCCAGAAGTTCTTATTTCTAGGCTTCAGAGACATGCCTGTATGATTTATCTAGAAGTTGCTTTCTTATCAGCAGATGCAGATTCAGTACAGCCTGACTGTCTGATGAAACAACCACAGGAATGGATCTTGTTTGCCTCTGTACGAAGAAGAGAGTGCAAGATATTCACATCACAGGAATCCAAGACCCCAAGCTGTCTTACAAACATAAATTAGCCTACGCTATATCCCTTCGGGGTGAATTTAATAGGGTAACATTTTCCAAATGCATCAACTCCCTTCAGGGTGAGCCGTGGGCTCCTAAATCACTTAGATGCCTTGGAAAATATTAGCCGCTATCCCCCACCAGAGTTAAAGCCAGTTGGCCGAGGTCAGCCAGCAAGCCTGTCACCCAGCCAGGAGGAACACCTCAGCAATCAGCCAGCCAGCCCATTGCTCTCACGACTG